CTGATTATTTTCGCTGGTGCACCACTGAAAGGTGAAAGTAGCAGGAGTGATGATTCTTACCAGCATCACTTTGACCGAGTCTGACATCAGGGCCACATAAGATTTCAGCACATCGTAATGAAAAGCTGGGGTGAGCAGCTTCCGATGCTGGAACCATTTGGTTCCGTCCAAGGTCAACAACCCCTGCCCTGGAGACACAATCAGCAAAGGCACAATCAGCTCCTCCAGATTCTGATGACAGTTCTGACAGCCTCACTACTGCTTTTGGCCAAGCACAGGCTAACCTGCATGGTCTGGGGGGAGGAAGAGTTCATGGTGGAGCCTTTTCTCCAGCCTCTCTGAGGCTGTTCACAGCAGTGCTCTTTGGATGAAAGAGAAACATGCCCCCATGTCCTTCACTGCAACTGGCTGTGCATGCCTAATGTACCCTGAAACCAAAGCCTTGATGGCAGAGGCACAGGACTTGCTCTCTCAGATGGGTTTTTCATAGAATCATAGAATCATAGAATGCTTTGGGTTGGAAGGGACCTTTAGAGGTCATCCAGCCCAACCCCCCTGCAGTGAGCAGGGACAGCTTTAACTAGATCAGGTTGCTCAGAGCCCCATCCAACCTGACCTTGAATATTTCTAGGGATGGAGCCTCCACTACCTCTCTGGGCAACCTGTTCCAGTGCCTCACCACCCTCATTGTAAAAAAATTTCTTCCTTATATCCAGTCCAAATCTATTCTTCCTTAGTTTAAAACCATTACTCCTTGTCCTGTCACAACAGAGCTTGCTAAAAAGATTGTCCTCATCTTTCCTATATGCCCCCTTTAAGTACTGAAAGGCTGCAATAAGGTCTCCCCACAGCCTTCTCTTCTCCAGGCTGAACAACCCCAACTCTCTCAGCCTGGCCTTGTAGGAGAGGTGCTCCAGCCCTCGGATCATTGTTGTGGCCTTCCTCGTGACCCGCTCCAACAGGTCCATGTCCTTCTTGTGCTGAGGGCCCCAGAGCTGGATGCAGTACTCCAGGTGAGGTCTCACCAGAGCAGAGTAGAGGGGCAGAATCACCTCCCTCGACCTGCTGGCCACGCTTCTTTTGATGCAGCCCAGGATACGGTTGGCTTTCTGGGCTGCAAGCGCACATTGTTGGTTCATGTCCAGCTTTGCATCCACCAGTACCCTCAAGTCCTTCTCCGCAGGGCTTTTCTGCCCTAAATTAAATATGTGGGTGCCTTTTTCAGCACACACTGACAGTTGTTAGCAGGACCCTGGAGGGCTACCTCAAAGCTGTGGGCAAGCCATGAACCTCCCTGTCCTTGGTGTGTCTCACCCCAGTTATCCATGGTAGCATTCAGTCCCTGAGCAAACTGAAGTTTGCTTTGTGAAGGCCAGGGTGTGTGATCCAAGGCAAAGCCACCTGACTGCTCCACGACTAAGTGGGCACCACCGGTACTAATGTTCACAACTAAACAAAACCTCCCATTTGCAAACTCTGGTTTAAGAACAGAAAAAAAGCAAAATAAAGGAAGAAAAGAGAGAAGCTGATGAAATGCGTGACATGGCAGAAAGGGATAATGGAAGAGAATGACTTACCAATCCAGGGAACTATGAATTTGTAGGGTACTTTGGACTTGGGATCTGTAAAACAAAATAGAAACCGGAACAGTATGAATGGCTAATGAATTCAACGTAACAAAAAAGAAAATTCAGGATAAATTGACATTAGAGTTTGTTCTCTAAATCATAATGTAGAATTAGTCTCATTTCAATATGTAAAATACTCTAATACTAGAGGTAGCATTTGAAAGTTGTCTTCTACAAATATGACCTTAGCAGACTTGAGAAAACCAGGGAAAGGTATAACAAAAAAATGCGTGTGCAAAAGAAATGGCCATGGCAAATCTCAGAGTTGAGAACAATGGATGGGAGCTACTGGAGATGCCCATACCACTCACAGGCATCATGCTCCACAGAAAGGAGCATAGGAGAAGACTTGAGATGTCTTCTGAGAGCCATTGCCATGCCAGCTCACCCATATTACTGGGTTTACTGGGAAGCACAGATATTGTGGTGGTAGATGCCATAGAAGACAGTAAGACCAATGATAATAGAGACAGTGGACTGGGAGGAACAGGCACGTGGTCACTGTTTTGCATGAGAATACAAACTGTTCCATGAAACCTTGCATGGGCTGGGAGTTTGCGATGGGGAGCAAAGGAGGAATTGCAATAGCTGTGAAGGAAGCTGGCAGAGGGGATGACTCCAGGCAAGCTTCCCATGATTTTCTCAGTAGGGAAGTGTCAAGGGCATGACTTCCCAAAACCAGATGTAGAGACTTACCTGTTCGGCCAAGTATGCTTTTGGCATATTCAGGATGGTGGATTACTAGAGAAGGCAGGGCTGGTCCAAACCATCTGGGAAAGGCATAGGGGTATTCTTCTCCCCATGACACCATCTGATTTAATATTTTATCTGTAGTTATCTGCAATGACAGTTAAGCAGGGACTGAAATCAGGCAGAAAAAGAGGTATGCGCCCTCTCATGGAAAGCACATGCAAGACATCCTCTCCTGGGAAATGGGGAGAGTGGGCAGACTTGACACAGGGACGTTTTCCATGCTGCAGGTGATGGAGATGCTGGACACAGCAAAGGGACCATGGACAGGTGGCAAAGCTGCCTGAGCCACCGCGTCCCTCCAGCACAAGGCAGCTCCATGGAGAGTCCCTCCATGGAGGGCCCATCTGTAGTCGAGCCGTGTCAGGATGGCCTGGGCTCAGAGTGGCCTGGTGTCACACTTGGGAGCTACAGCTGGCATGGGCAATGCAAGGATGCCTGGTGAACAGGCCAGGGGGACCAAGGCTGTTACACCCCTGTTCTCTAAATTCAGCAGTGCAAGGTGGGCATGCAGTGAGAAAGCAAAAATATCTTCACTATAGAAGGATGAAAATGGCTGCACTAAAATGCCTTGCTTTAGTGGCCATGTCTTCTTAAGTGAGTTTAAGGGGAGAGACTTATTGGTAGAAGGTTTAATGCAGAGGAGAGACATTTTAGGGTTGTTTATATTTAAAGAACTTCATGAAAGTCCCAGAAATCACCTAACTCCATGCTTAAGCACATGATCAAAACCAACATGGCTCTGTTTTTTACCAGAATGATGCCTATCTCATATCCAGTCACCCTTTATGCCTGCCCTGCAAAAGTGCTGGCAGTCCCTGCGCAGAGGTCCTCTCCCATAGGAAAGGATACGAGCAGGGGACATGCATACCCCACCCGACACGCCCTCTCATCCTGACTGATATCTTCCACAGTTGTTGGGACAAACCCACCCTGACTGAGTCCAGCTCCTTCCTTACCAGATGATTGTGGCCATAAAGCCAGTGTTTCGGGGGACCAGGGAACGCCTCCAGAGCTTTGACAAGTTTCTTCCTCTTCTGGTAGAACTGGGCCACCTTCAGCAGCACAAAGATGACACCAAGCACCACACAGAGCTGCAGGATGACAACAGAAGGTCTGGCTATGTTGTCCAGCAAAGACGCCATGCTAGCCCTGCATCCAGGATGCCTGACACGTCCTTCTCCTGCCTGCTTCCGTTCTGCTCCTCCCACGCCTGTGCCTGATGGAGAGCTAGGTGCAGGTAAAAATCCTCTCCCTCCTGCTCTGCTGGAGCTGAGCCTGGTGAAGCGCTGCTGGCAGCAATTTATAGCAGCAGGGAATCATGGTAAGCAATGCATCAGCTTGGCCAGCAGCCCAATTGCCTGCTGTTCCCCTTTCACCCTTTGACCTACTTCCAGCAACCTGTGGATGGAGGCAGCTTGTTAACTAACAACCTGTACATATTTTCTATTTTCTTTGAAGTCCCATACACCCCAGCAGTGAGGGAAAGCACTTGCAGTCATCCATGCCCAGGTGGATGAAGCTATAGGAGGGAGGAGGTAAGAGGTAGCCAGGCTCAAGGGCTCTAGCTGCCCTCAGCCAAATTCAGGTCTGGAAGCCGTTCATCTGCCCACATGAAGTGAGCAACAAATGGGCCACCTCTGCCAAACATGCAGGCCGGATGGATCCAGCTGCCTCCAGCTATAAAAACAGTGCTCTGGGTGACTGCAACATCACACAGCACCGCTAGACTATAATCAAGAGAACGGATATAACCCGATCAGCACACAAGGGACTGTGACCTTGTTCTCCAAGAGGTCCTACCATAGATAAGCCAGGAGACAAAACTGATGCCCAGAAGAATTACCATGGTCAATAGGTAAGACAAGGAGAGGGAGAGCAGCAGAGCAGTAAAATGAGCTGCACCGAGATTGGGAACATGTCTAACCTCATAGGGAGGCATGATGGTAAGCTCGTATTCCCTCTACAATCCTGGTTAGTCCTCCTTCTCCTGTCTACGTGGCATCTCACCATCTTCCAAAAAAGGCTCCACATCACTGTATTTACCTCTCCAATGTAGTGCTTGGTTGGGCCTCAAGTAGGACCCCTTCTAGCAATCCCTGAGCAGATCCTGCTGGTTACCTGGGCTCACATCCCATAGGTGCAGAAGCTTGGAATGGCTTGGAGGGAATTGCAGGGTTGGTGGAGGACTTGGGCTTTAAGCCTGCCCTGTGGGGGTGACTTCCAGGCATATTGCAAAGAGGAGAATCCCCAGATGGGCTGAAATAATTTCCTGTTTGGGTGTTAGGATATTATAAGGATCAAATGAATCATC